GTAGAATGCAAATGGTATGTGAGAGTTGTATAATCATAGTATATGATTATATTATCCTGTATATTGTATATATAAAACCAGATTACAACAGTTGAAGCATTGGGAAATAAGTTTAGAACACCAGGGACCAGTGTAGAATGTTCCACTATTGATTCATTTTATCATTTACACTTTCCGCCGCCATTTTAGATTTTCAAGCAAACTGTACACTGTACATTTTTATTTGGGTTGTTCCATGCCATTTTATAAAGCCATGCCCAGGAATTTAGTATCGGATGCATCCCAGATAAGTTAAGTTGTTGTAGCTGTCCGATAGGGGGCAGCGGTGTAACCTATTGCGAAAGGGCTCCAGTGCCAGATTAATTGCCGTTCCCTTTGATGTGATAGGGAAATTTCTTAAAGTTCTAACAAAATAATAAATAGCCTAGGCTAGCTCAGCTTAATAGAAAAAAGGGGAACCACCCCACCCCACTTAAAAAATATTTTTGGGAACGTGTGTCCCCGTCCGCATGATCTGCGCCCATGGACGAATGGTTTGATCACTGCAAGCGAAACCGCCCAAAGAAGCAGACCTCTGGAGTATGCAAAGTTCATACTCCAGAAGTCATTTAATGATGATGGTGATGATGATGATGTATGTTTTAGTGTATTACTTATCGGCCGGTACATCGATATAATAATAATAATAAAAATAATAATAATAATAATAATAATAATAATAATAATAATAATAATAATAATAGGCCTAATAACAATAATAATAATAATAATAAATTATAATCTATAATAATACATAATAATATAATAATAATTATACATAATATAATAATATATTGCAATCAGTCATCCAATCATCTAGATAACAACGAATCAACCAACAAGATAATTATATTGTTTGTACTATCTAATCAATAACCAACTAGCTAAAACAAAATTGGAAGGACAACAGAAGGCGATCTTGGTCCACAAATAGTATTTTATCTTTATTTAAAGCCTATCAAATTCGTACCATGTACACAGAAAACAAATAAAATACTACCAGATCTATTAGCCTACGATACGATTTATTGAGTTCACTTTCAGATCAGTGGCACCCATCACTTTGATGGTGCACCCTTGAATAATATTAAATATAAACAAAAGAAAGCAAAATACAGTTCAAAAACAACGAACGGATAAATAGCATAACAAAAACAAAACCAAGCAATTTACAGTAATGTTTTACCCTTATTTGTGTATCCAATACATTGGTACTATTATTTAGTAAGTAAACTGAATGAAACACACTGAGCTGCACAAAAAACTGTACTTAGTAGTCGTGTGAAATTACCGGAACGTCGATTGTTTATTTATTTATTAATTTTCTTTTCTACAGACCAGGGCAAAATCAAAGTCAAATTCAGTATAACATTACAGGTTCTCGTACAGCTCATTGCGTTTCATCCAAGCAATATATCTATTTAATGACTTTTACAAAAATAATATATTAACAACACTTGTTATCGATTCGCTTTAAATGTTTGTTTTTGATAAATAATGAACGGATATGAGTTTCTTTCATAAATCAATATTACAATTAGGCCTAATTGCAAGTTGGTCTTGAGAGCCGTTTCTATAGCGTGCGCCATCAAACCTTTGGCTTGTTACCGTTTGCACTTTAGCGTACATATCAATCAATGATGGAAATTTGCCAAGTAGTCTGTTATTGATCATAAGGCTCTTTTATTTCATTGCGTTGATTCTGATTTTAAGTGTAATACATATTTTGAGGATTTTTACTGAAGTATTGCAGTATTTTTTAAATATAAATGATTCGCATGATGTTGTATATATTGAGTTTAATATATTTGAACTTGTTGGTATTAATGTATCCTGTATTTTCAGGTATGTAGCCGTGACTTATACAGTGATCCCCGATAGAGAGACACAAGGCTAGTTAGTGAGGTCTATCTTACTTATGTGCCTATTTTAATAACATGGTTTCTGGGCGTGAAAATGCTTAAATTATGGTGAAGTTTGTTGTTCATTTTTTACAAGCAATTTTTGTAGTACTCAATCATTGAGTAAGGACAAATATTTGTTACGATCTACCGCCCAGACGCCTCCACAAATCTGAAAAAAAATATATCGTAGCACCATTCTTTGGGCGTCTTACACAACGCACAAAATGCAATGTAAATTCAATGAAATTGGAAAAGTTGCCTTGTATAAAAAGTACAATGGAAATAGAAACATATTGTAGCTAAGGTCAATGTCGCCTATAAATTTAAAGGCCAAAGGTTTTGTGATGACGATCAATGTTGCTGCGTGGATGGTTGCAGCTTATGAGGAATTAAGCAAAAGTGACGCCATCATTGATGAAATTATGTTGAATGTAATAATGATAACGCCACAATTACATTGAGACTAAGATTATGTAACATGTGATTAGTTCTTGTCCAAGGTATTGTAATTGTGCGGTTGCTTTTACAGGTATGGTGTTTAATTCCAAGTTGATTCAATATTAGAAAGCAACTACAATTTAAAGCTAATCTAATTTGAAGTATATTGATATGGAGTAGATTAAACAGTCAAACAAACAGTACACTACACTTTAAGTTACGTATTATGTACGAAGATATTCCATGTATTTAAGAGACCCTGGAATTCAAAGCACAGCCAATTTGCGTTTGATCGTGAGATGAATAAGTTTTTGAGAGAGGCACCATATACTTCTCATACTAGATGTTATACCATCCTATTTTTTTTTTCTCAGAGAATTGTTTAGATCCCCTTGGTGTTGAGGACGGAAGTATCCCCGCGGATCAGCTGACAGCGTCCAGCGAATGGCGCCCGTCGCACGGGTCTCAACGAGGAAGACTTAACACCTTATATATATCACACAATGAAGGCACTGGAGCCTGGTCTGCAAGATTCAATGACCAAAACCAATGGATTCAAGTAGATCTTGGTACTTTGAAAAACGTAAGAGGAGTGATTACTCAAGGACGCAACAATGAAATGCAATGGGTTACGTCTTATGAAGTTCGTCACAGTGTTAATGGTAACAGCTTTGAGGCAATAACTGACGCAAATGGCCAAGTTGCGGTAAGATGGAGAAGCGCAAATACATTTCCCCAATGATATACGGTTGTTTCAAGAAATTTGAGAGACAACACTTAGGGCCTATTGTTTTACATCAAAGTCTGACTCGGACTTTGTTCTTGTACTCTGCACTGATTTGAAAAAGGGTATCAAGTATGTATTGTTGAGAAAATGAACAAAATGCAGTTGGTTTTAGCAAAAGATTTATTTATTTATTTTGTTGATGTTATTTATATTGCTCCTTTCTTTTGCGGTTATAAAAACATGTTTTTTTTATATTATTAAACTGAAATTCAAAGAGAAGCTCTGGAGGAAAAAAAATTGTAAGTTGTACAAATGAGTTTTCTGTGAACGGCTTTAGAAAATTTAATTGTACAACTTATAATTTGTTTTTCCCTGGAACTTCACTTTGAATTACAGTTTAATATCAACTGTATTTCATAGGAGTTTAAGGGAAATTCTGATCAAGACACTACAGTTACCAACATATTCCATAATCACGTGTACGCTCAATTCATCCGTATTCATCCAATCAGTTGGCATAATCATATAAGCTTACGATTCGAGGTACTTGGATGTCAAGGTAGTTGTATAAGCCCATTTTATGTAATAATGTTAAAAGTATAGGAGATAATGTTCATGTAGAATCATTTAGAATATTGTCCATGATGATTTAAAATTTAAACATGATGCTTTCTCAATCAATTCTCTAACAACAAAAATAATATTGATTACCATCATAATATTATAATTATGGTTATGATCATTATCATGATGATGGTCGTCATGATCAATGATCGTCGTCGTAATCGTCACCGTTTAGGGGTGAGGCCAAGGGTGGCGCCAGTGTTGGTGGGGGGGGGGGAGGCCCCGTCGGGGAAATTCGTCGCCCCATGTACCACTTTCACTACTTTTCAATCCAAGCTCGACCGCGCCCACTTTGCTTTCGTCGGGGAAATCTGACACCTCGTCGGGGCCACCGCCCCCCCCGTCGGAGACCCCACCCCCGTCGGGCAAATCCTGGCGCCACCCCTGGGTGAGACCAGTAGGGAGACACGGCAGTCGTCGGAAAGCACCATTTCGTCGGGAAGAAAAAAGAATGTAAAGGTCCTGATGAATTTTCTACATATTACCGTAATTGACTCTAAAATTTAATAAAAAAGGACTTTGAAACCCCTAAATTGTTAATCGTTTCATAGTCTTCGCCCCAAGGTCCGTTTCCGAAAGATTACAAGTGATGCCGACCACGCCCTGGTTTTTTTTCCTTTTTATTATTATTTTTTTTTTTGTTTTTTGGTTTTTGTTTTTGTTTTTTTTTTAATCTGAATTTATATAACGCCTTACAAAGCTCTAGCATTACTCCCTGGATACAGAGTTGGCAAACCGGCACATTTTTGTGTAACTTTATCTGCTCCCTGAGAGGTATACCTAGTCATACTGCTTTACGCGCAAAACACATGTGTTCAATGCCATACCATCCTATCAGGTACACCTCTTCGGTCAGGAAAAACGAACTTCCCCGGTAGGAAATAAAAGGATCCTTGTAATTAGGCCAAAAAAAAAAGCTCTATATTGCCTTTAACCGACTGACCCTAAAAATCGAAAAATCACGGTCGTTTTTTTTTTTTATTTTTTTTTTAATCAAAATATTTGAGGATTCTGTTTCAATTTCATTCTAAAATGGAAATATCAATGAGTTATATGGAGTCAAGTGGTCCGATATCTAGTTAGGCCAGATAAACATAAGTTGAGGTCTAGGATGGGAAGTTTGCATACAATAAAATATAACGACCCTCACCTCCACTAATTTTGAAGCCAAAGAGAAATTTTTTTACCTTCTTATCATTAACATTATAATTATCATTATCTTTATTATTATTTTAATAATTGTTTGTAATATCATTATAATATCATTATTATATTACATGTATATTGATTTCATCATTTAGATATAATTACTTTTTTTTCTCAAATTCGTTAGAATGGCACTTTACTTATTACAAGTCATCTCGTTCGAATAGTGCATGTCGAAATCGTTCAAAAATGGTCGATATCCGGACACGGAGCTGCTTGACATGCGCTATGGAGTGTATGAGAACGCAAGGATGCAAGGATTTTAAGTATGACGAAGGAGAATGTATTTTTAATACCAATGGATATTATGCTGCATTTCAGTTATAAATCCAGTGATGCTTTATTTGGCGGATCTAATAGGTGTCAAAAAGGGTGATTGTCTCCTGATAGCAGTCAAGGAAGAAATCACTAACCACTGCCAATGGGGTTATATATCCATCCCAGTCGGCTTGTCTGTTACGCAAAAACGAATGAATCAATAATAAAATTTAGTGGAATGGTACATAATATCTAGGAGAGGATTAACTTTTGGTAAGAAAAGGACAAAGAGAAGGTCAATTAAAGTCAAAGAAATTCGAGTGTATCTACTTGAACTTGCCCTCGAGCATAAAAGAAAACAATGGTATCACCCATGCAAGGCCTGTGTATTGTTCGGTTCGCACTGGATGGGGGTACGCACTTTATGAAATGACTGCTCTAGTTACATTTTTTGATTTAAAGAAAATATAATTATATTTAACGTATATATTTTATAAAAACACGTAAAAATTAGGGCAGAGTTTGAAATAGTGTCCTCAGACAATTAAATTTAGGATGAATTAAGACTACACTCCGCCGACCTGCTAATATATATAACAGTTTGTGAGTTTGTCCACAATGAAACATATATGAGAATATCCAGATTTCTCCAGAATGTATATTCTAATTTACAGTATATCAATCACTGTACTTCAAATGTAACCGTTAAAATAAAATATTCACTTTGTGTTAATTATGGCAGTAGATATTTTTTTTCTTTCCTCCTGTTTCTGTCTACATAATGAAATATATATTGCATCACTAATAAGGTTAGTTTACAAAAATACAACTTTCTTTGCAGACACATAATAGGCCTATCTTATATATAGTTTGTGAATCTGTACACATAGTCAATATCTGTTGGCTATCGTGCAAATATCAATTGAACCAAAGATAACAGTCAGATCTCAAAGGACGATATTCACTATCCAAGTTATATTATTTATTATCGATATTCGCTACTGCAAAGTATACAGGTAATTTCCGGTTGTCAGTTTACATTTTTTCAAAATTTATTCCTCCATTGATTATTCTGATTGTACTCTGAGTTCAAATAAAAATGCCAATATCCGGTATTGAGTAAAGACGCCATGTGTTTGTAGCTCTCAGCCGCATACAATTACGCATATTACGAAGAAGTTTTCAGGCATCCTTATCCAAATGTATGTTTTAAGTTGAATAAATTCATCTCCTAGGTTAAAAGTTTCCGACACGAATAAAATAGACGAGTGGTACCGGGTAAAGACAACTTGGTTTCTTGCTTCAATCAAGGTATCTAGTTCTAGAGTCAAGCTAAAATATGTAATTATGTATCGAAATTATATATTTCTAGGCCTATAAACATTATGCCTAAATATATATTTAGTAAAATAAATCAAATTTAACAAAAATATGGAAGAAGCTAAGAAGAACAAGAAAAAAATTGGAGCGGCTGAAATATTTGCCGAAAATAAACAATAATAATTTTGTCATAAAATCTGTTGGCATTAATCGTCAGTGCCGGCAGCCTACATGTTTCATACATTCAGCATCGAAGACATATTGTTTATTCAATGAAATTAATATAAGATATTATTTATTTATTATTATTCATTTAACTTTAATGGTCATATTATTGTGTTGATGATAGAGTACGGTATGTTAGGTAGGATAAATGGAGTAAGGCGATTAGTTTACTGTACAATTCTTTTAGAAATGATATATTTGTGACATATTGAAGATATTACAGTAGATCGAAATAGGATGTTTCTACATAGATAACACACTTTATGTTAATATGCTGCAATATATGGAAATGTGTTCACTTCGTGAGATAAAGAATCTGATGATCTATGTTTTTTACAGTTTTTGCACACAGATAGGTTGTCTGACGTAATGGGTAATGCACTGTGATTTTAGGAATAGGCATACTAATAATATAGATGCATTTCTATTTTTGACCACGGGAGTTAAATGCTGTTTGTTTTACCTGTTTACTTGTTTCCCTAGAGAGTCTTCTACAGTCTGATCCTCCTGGGTATAGAGGCCAAGCAAAACGATGCTTATAGGCCCCTCGAAAAAAACCAGTATATTTAAAATTTAACATAGGGCGCAAATTTGAACGGATGGTCAACCAAACGTACTTCGATTGCAAATTTAAATAAATTAATAGAACTAGAATTAACGTCTTCATTCGATAAGGAATTCCACAGCCGACCTGACCTAAATGAAAAAAAGCATGACTTCTAATAAATGTCCTACAATGCTGATGTTTAATGTTAAAAGAGTGACCTCTAGTTCTAGCACCTTTATCAAACTCAAAAAATAAATCACCCGAAACCCTATCAATTCCATGGACAATTTTAAAAAGCTGTAAAATATCCGATCTCTGTCTACGAAACGCTAGAGTTGGAAGATTCAAAACTTTAAGTCTAACTTCGTACAGAAAATCCCTTACCTCCAAAAACATTTTAGTTGCTCGTTGTTGAACTTTCTCTAAGGAATCTGCCTCTCTCTTATAAATTGGGTTATAGACTACACTACAATATTCTGAAGTAGGTCTCACAATAGACTTATACAGTTTCAATAGACCTTTTTTCTTCAAAAATCTGAAAGACCGTTTGATCATGCCCAATTTCATGTTAGCTTCCTTACAAATATCGGCAACATGCATTCTAAAATTAAGACTGGAATCAAAGGTAACTCCTAAATCCTTTACACTGTCAACTGCCTGAATTTCAGTATAAACATAAAATAGGAACATTTTGCATTATTTCTTCCATAGTGAACAACTTTACATTTGTCACTATTAAATGGCAAGTTCCATTTTCGAGACCACTCACATAAGGCATTAATATCTTCCTGAAGACGGAATCTATCATCAACCGAGTCTACAACTCTAAAAAGCTTTATATCATCTGCGAACAATCTTACGAAAGAGTCGGATACTAAAGGTAAATCATTGATAAAAATGGTAAACAAAATTGGACCCAAAACAGAACCCTGTGGGATACCACTTAACACTGGGACTTTACTAGATAGACATCCGTTTATTGAGACACGCTGTGAACGTCCAGTAAGATATTCCGCAATCCACTTTAAAGTTTTATCTTTAATACCATAACTACGTAACTTGCCTAGTAAACGCTGATGAGGAACGGAATCAAAAGCTTTTTTGAAATCAAAATAAATACAGTCAATACTATAAGATTTTATCAATATAAGAAGACCACAGGTCATGTACCGCAAGTAATTGGGTTGCACAAGAATAACCACTTCTAAAACCATATTGCTCTTTGCATAGTAAATCGTTTGTCTCAAAATATTTCATAAGATAATCTCTAATGATCCGTTCCATAATCTTCCCTACAATCGATGTTAGACTAATCGGCCTATAATTAGATGGAGTATTCTTATTTCCCTTCTTTAGAATCGGAACCACCCATGCTTCCTTCCAGGACGTGGGTACAACACCCTCTAAGAAAAGCATATTAAAAATAAGTTTTAAAGGTAATGATATAACAGATCGAAGTTCAAACAACACTTTAGCATGTAACCCATCAGGTCCTGCAGATTTATTGGTATTCAAACTAGACAGAATCTGCAAGATATCTGCCTCAACAAAGGAAATATCGTCCACCAAACACGTATCAACAGAAAAAGATAGATTAGGGATATCTGACAGATCCTCATTCACAAAAACACCACTGAAAAAAGCATTAAATAATTCAGCTTTTCCTAGGTCATCAGACACACGAACTTCATTTTCAGCAATGAGATCAGGGACCCCAGGATTACCCTTAGTTTGACTCTTCACATATTTCCAAAAGCATTTTTCGTTACATCCTATCTCGTCTGCAAGTTTATTTTCAAAAGTTGATTTAGTTTTCCTTTAGTTTGTGGCGAAATTCCTATCTTCAACAAATTGCTTCCATTTTACTCCAATGTCCGGTCTCTGTGTTCTCTTACTCTTAGTGTAACGCTTCCATCTTTTATTTTTCTTATTAATTGCTTTGAGACATTGTTTGTTCATCCACTGAGGATTTCTGTGACCACGTTTCTTTCTCATAGGAGTATGGAGCTCAATAAGTTTCTTCATTTGTAGTTCAAAAAACGTCCAAGACTCTAATCCAGAAAGAGAACTAAACATTTCTTGTAAAAGACATTCGATCCAAACTGATTCTTTAAAATTTCCACTATCAAGATTAACCAAACTGGCAGAGATTCCATTTCTCACATAGATCGCTACTCCATGACCAGAACCTAAATCTTCTGGTGGTAAAAACAACTGGAAACTATTAAGATTAAATTCAAGATGTGAAACCGCCGATTGCGTAAACTTTGGAAAAATCTCAGTTAGAGCAATAAAATCAAAATCATCTTCTGCTAAAATGGCTTCTAACTCCACTTTCTTATTTAAAAATGAATCGCAGTTTGAGTACATAAACATAAAATTTCTTGAACTCGACAAATATGAATTACTTCTTGTTTCTTTCCTAACTTTATTTTGCTTATTTTTACTTTTCTTCAACGAAAACTCTTCTTCACAATTTTACCACTCCTTATTATAAGGTTTTGTTCACCCCTTTGTATTCTAAGATTAAGCTCGTCTTTTAGTTTTCTATACTTATCTCTCTCACTCCTTGTCCTGTCACTGCTAACGGAGATACCCTTAGTTTTCGCTACATCAAAACATTTCCTCTTGAAGTTTTCACCCTTAAGGACAATTTTTAGCGGCCTAGATTTTTCACCCCGTTTGCCCACTCTAAACATTGCCTTAACATTACTCTCGAAATCACCATAACAATCCCCACTGATATCCTTAATAATTTCCGATCGTGAACTTTCCTTACCTCATGATCATCACTCTTCGACTCTACCAATCCAAATAGAATTAGGTTATTCCTACGTCTTTCCTTTTTTAAATCATCTTCAAATTTACTGTCAATTAATTTTTCAATTTCCTTTAAGTCAGCTAGTGGACTTAGATTTATTAAGTTCTTCGATTTTAATGCTATTGTCCAGTATGTCTTTCTGCATTTTGTCTTGAACTAATTTTATACTAGCTAAAGATGCCATAATATTACCTGCAGTAACACTGCAGGATCTACAATACCAGTGAACATTCGAATCACTCGCTACAAGACAATCATAAGTTTTGTTAGATACCGATTGACAACTAATGTGAAACCATAAGCCACAAAAATCACAATTAATCGCCCTATCTTTCTCCGAAACTACCGAAGCATAAGCACCACACTTGTCCCCGTCCGACTTGGCCTTCCTCACAGACATAATTAACAGCGGGGGCCTAGCTACAAAAATCCTCACAATCTTGGAAAAATCCCAAAATATATAGGATCAGGTAAAATAGTGGGCATCTTATCTAAAGAGTGTTAATAAGGCAATATTTGGAGGAAACTAAGAATATTAAGTCCTACAAAGCCAAAAAATAGCGGAGAAATTATACCGTTCGAAAGAACACGTCTGACCACCGCAGCGCCCTCAATTGTTTTGTTACTGTTGCGCGTTTATGTACTCCACGCGCGCCGGTTCAGAAACGAGGGCGTACTAGTCATTTTATATCTTCGAAACCACAGTGACAAAAGCATAATTGTTTTTATTTGATGAATTGGAAGGCCATGCCTATCATATTATACAGATTTAAAAAAATAAATAAATAAACAATACAGTAAGTCAGAAAACAGTAGCATT